GCAAGTGTCCCGCCCCCTGGCGCCCGGCAGCCTCAAATGGTTGGGAACCACTGTCTTCGATCCTTCCACCTGTAAAACTTTTAGAAACCCAGCAGCAGTTCTACATAAAATATTTGACACCTCTAGTACTTTAGCTTCACCCTTGCCCATTAATTCAGAAAAATGTTACCTTCTAATTATGCTGTCGTTTCATGATCTTCGCAAGTGTCCCGCCCCCTGGCGCCCGGCAGCCTCAAATGGTTGGGAACCACTGTCTTCGATCCTTCCACCTGTAAAACTTTTAGAAACCCAGCAGCAGTTCTACATAAAATATTTGACACCTCTAGTACTTTAGCTTCACCCTTGCCCATTAATTCAGAAAAATGTTACCTTCTAATTATGCTGTCGTTTCATGATCTTCAACAAAATATGGCCCCCGCACATGGTAAATCCTGCTACAGATACTGGAGTGGGGAAAAAGTGGGGGGTGTAGCTGTTAGGATTAACCAGTGAGCCTAGTCTTATTGATTGTGTAAATAGCTACATGGTAACATCCTTAGAAACTACACAGTCTGGCACATTGATTTAACTGTCCCACATGGATTATTGACTTGTAAATTCCATAATGTCAAATTCACCCACAGTGAACAGACTACACAAGTAGTCCTTGACCCCAATTCTAACTAAGCAATAGGAAGAAACGTAAAAATGCCAGCTAATCTGCAGAGTTAGTACAGAAATAGGCTTCATAGAAAGACTTGAATGTGAGCTGTAGTGCCTTGTAAACCAGCATCAAGAAGAGTATGCTGGGTGAGATGGCAGCATGAAGGAAAGGAAGAGGTGGTCAATGAATGGACAAGAAGAGCTCTGAAGATAGCATAAGTAGTGGACTAGAAAGAAAGCAGAGGAGAGCATATGGTAAGAGAACACTCAATGTTCTGCCCACATTACAGGGAAAAAGAACATCCAGTCAGAGAGAAGTCACAATCACCACATTAATGAGTTATCTGGAGACTTCATTCCATCGTGTTTATTTTCAAGTCAATATTGTATAGTAACAAAAACACATCAATGTCATGATAAGTCAGTAATAAATGTAGACAAATTCCACTTGTTAGCCGTACAAACTCAACAACTGTTTCCTCCTAGGTGATCTGATCATCTTAGGAGCACTGTTAACTTCCATACAAACTGTTGAGACTACATCAATCAACTTCATCATCTTTCTAAGGTTACTTACTAAGCTACAGTGCAAAGGATACACTAGTAACAAAAATATTTTGTAAATAAACCAATGACCTTTAGCTTGTAGGCCATTACTAAACTTCTAGCAAAATATAACTGAAGTCTATGGCAGGTCCTGGTAATCTACTGTTGAGGACAAATAATCCTAGTTTGAAAAAGTTAACATATCTGTAATTAAATATCCAGATAATTTCCACAGGCAATGCTGAATAACTCACACTAGAGTAATTTTAACTTTGACAAGGCAGATGAAATAATATCTTTTATCAGACCAATTTCTGTAAGCTTGAAAGGTTGTTTCTCTCACCAACAGAAGTTGGCACAATAAAAGGTATTACCTCAGCCAACTGGTTTCTCCAATATCCTTAAATCAACACAGCAAAAAACCACAATGTAATCATATGTATTAGCAATCAAAGACCTTCATTTTCCAGCATCCTTTTTCTATTAATAAATTAGTACAAATAATCTAGGTCATGCACTGACAGTTCTCACCCAGTATAATTACCAAGCATCCTTCTGAACGGGTCAGCAATTCTCCCTAAGCCACATGAAGTCCCACCTAATATTTCATTGCCTCCACTAGAGAGTGAATACACTACCCCCTTTTCCAAAAACAAAAGGAAAAACTATGTAGCACTTTAAAGACTAACAAGATGGTTTAATAGGTGATGAGCTTTCATGGACCAGACTCACTGGACAAAGACTAGCCAGGATTGCAAAGTCAAAGCTGATCTACATGGATCAGTGAGTGCAGGATACCACCTCGAGAGCAGATAGCCAGCCCAATATGCTTATCACTTTTCTATATCTTTATAATAGCTAAGACTAGTATTATATTTTTTCATGCAACAAGTAACATTATAGCTGCTCACAAAAAACTTTCCTATGTTCCGCCTTCTGTTTAACTAAAGCCCAATATACACTTGCCTTTGTAAAGGAGTAAGCATGCCTTGGTACCATTCCATGTAACACTCTTAACTGTTGCCAAGAGAGTGTAACACAAAAAGAAGAAACTTATTTTCTGAACTTCAGTCCAAATCAAAATAATCAAGTTGGGCTACAAAGGTTTTTTTTTTTTTTTTTACTTCTAGTCAACTTGATTTCCCTCTAATTGCAGTAATCTCTGACAGACTCTGAAAGGTCTGCAGTCTCCAAACCAGAAATCAATACAACATGCAGTCAGGGAAGACGCCTCACTTCTTAGTGTGTGACCAGGCTGCATGTCTGGCCTTTTCTTTAGTTTCAACATCTTTCGTTTTCTTCTGGGAATTTTAAATCAATGGCAGGGTACTCCACTTTCTTCCAGCTCTCGTTTTGAGAACCCATTTTTAAATCAGTTAATTCAGAAGTGTCAATATAGTATGAATAATGTATGACTAGAGAATGGGTTTAAATAACGGATGACCATTACTTAGACCAAGGCTATTAATTTACCTTTTGAAGTAACAGGGAGCCGGATCATGCAAGTTTCAGAAATCTTAATTCCCCGCAGTCATGCAGAAGCTCAGGATTAGGGATGTCGACATGTAGACAACTATACAATTAACTGATAAACCTGGGCTTAACAGTAAATTTTGTCAACTACATGCATTCCCTTGCCTTGCTGCCTCTGTATCAGAGGCAGCAAGGGGAAGAGCAAGAGCTGTGGAGAGGGCGAGGGGGACAGGCCAGAGGAGATATGCGTAAGGAGCTGGCTTTCAAGCAGGCTCCCATGCACAGACCAGCTCCACCTACTGCTCACCCCACACTTGCTGCCTCCTACAGAGACAGAGGCTGCGGGGGCGGGGGAGGAGAAGGGCCAGGCAGGAGCCAGTTCCCCCCCTTCCCTCCCAGCTCCAGCTCCCTGGTGCTGCCTCTCCACTCCCGTGCTGCTGCCTCTATCAGAAGCAGCAACACAAGATGATAAGCAGAGCCGGTCTGCGTGGAAAGCCAGTTTTTAAATTGGCTCCCCGCAAGGACTGGCTCCTGTCTGCCACTCTGTGCTGTTGCCTATGATAAAGAGGCCACAGCGCAGGTGTGGCAGGAGGCTACCCAGGAGTGAGTTGGGAGTGCACTGGCTGCCAGCCCCACTAAAATTTCATGAGGGTTACACAACTATTCAGTTACACACTATCTAACACTCCTACTAAGGATAGGCCCATTAGTTGCCAAAAATCAGTACTTTCAAATTGAGAAGTAATGGAAGATGTTCCCCTTAGTTTTCAAGCAAAACGGTCACTCCTTCCCTGAGAACATTCAAGTTCCCAGTACAGTTTCAGACTAAGCTGCAGGCAGAAGAAATCGAGAAGTAGTTCGTAATCTGCAGCCTAAGATCTATTTGATAAAATTAGCTACTCTTCAGATCCAATAATAAGCAATTTGTCATTTATTTCCAAAGGAGATTTAACAACCCTAATGAGGTAAATGCACAAGTCTGAGTCTTTTCTGTCATTCTATTTTTATGTGTTCACGTCAAGATAATTTGTTTTTCTTGTGTGTGTGTTTTTTAAAATCACAGACCACATAATCACATCCCTGCAACTGGCCACTTAGAGCGTTATGCAGGGATGTGGCAGTGAGGAAGCCTGCCCCAGGGTTCTGTTGGGATGCTGGCCGGTAGCCACCTAAGGTAAGCGCCTTCCAGCCACAGCCTACACCTGGCATCCCCATCTCCCAGTCCCAGGTCACAAACCCAACCCCCTGCACTCCCTGTCAGGTCACAACCCCATTCCAGACTCTGCACCCATTATGGCCTCTCCCTATTCTATGAAAATTGACTTATGAATATGAATATGCATATCTCAAAGCAGGGCCGGCTCTAGGCACCAGCAAATCAGGCAGGTGCTTGGGGCAGCACTTTGCCAGGGGCAGCATTTCAGGTAAGCAGTTGGCGCCGTCCCCGGCAACGCCTAGCCCCGCCGTGCTGATTTTAAAGGGCCGCGGGAAACGCCGCAGCTGCGCAGCCAGCTAGCACCAATGCATGCCCGGAGTCTGCTAGCCACCCGTCTCCTCTCCTGCTCCTCCCCGGCAGTTGCTAAGCAGCCGGCGCCACCCCCAACAATGCCCTGCCCCGCTGATTTTAAAGGGCCGTGGGAGACACTGCAGCTGCATAGCTAGGGATACCAAGTAGACCCCTCGCAAAATACCGGACACACTTGATTGTGCGTGGCGGGGGAGGGACCGGCTGGGAGGAAGGGGGATGGGAGGAGGGCAGGGGTCGGGGCCGCGGTGCTGGCCGGGAGGAAGGGAGGCCGGGAGGAAAGGAAGCAGAGCTGGGGGCGGGGGGGGGAGATCAGG